CCTGGGCTGGGGGGGGCTGGGGGGCTCGGGGAGGTGGTGCGACCCTTCCCCTGCTCCAGCAGTACCAGTGCCAAGGTTCGGAACTCGGACGGCTGTGAATTCTGTCTGTATCCAGTGTGGAGGTCGGTGCCATTAGCATTGCACTGCTGCCTCCCTCCTGTCAGTGGAGTCCTGAAGGCTTTTGTTTGATTTCATGCTGTAAGTACAAAGTCTGAAGTGCATTATTGTCGTGCAAGCAGATATGGTTGGCCCTAGTCAAAAGAAGATTTGATACTGGTCATCATTTTACAGTGCCCGAGCTGACAGCATCTCAGAGGGGACACCTGAGAGCATAGGCTAAATGCAGGTTTTGAAACTTTCATTCTTGTGTGACCATCTCGAATGTAACATGGCTTAATTGGAATATAAATTAGATCCCTAAAATACTGAAAGGTCTCTTCATTTTCAGACACATTACAAGAGTCAATATATAAACTTTACATGTTTTCCTGTTGGTCTGCAGGGAACTAATGAAGTGACAATATAAAAAAAAGTGAAATATTACAGTGGCCACATGATTAATATCCTAACCCACATGATCAGTATGCTAACTGTTCTAAGGTTAAGTTTGCTTCTTACCTGAAACATATGGCTTGGCATTTTTGTTTTGCTCAGTCTGTGGCAATGGCTTCAGGAACAGCGCTGGTTTATGACGAGGAGATGACCACTCATAAACTACTTTGGAGTGAGTAAGTCACTGCCTTTATTTTTATGAATAGATTCTTATTAGGACTTCTGAGAGAAGTACCAAAGAAATGCCTTTTTTGTAAATTTAATAGGAAGTACCTAGTGCTAGTACTGTGTGTACTAGTGTACCAGTGTACACTGTACTAGTGTAATTTTCCTAGTAAATAGAAAGTCTTTCTTTTTGGAGAAAAAAAGTTATTCCCTATTTGTGTGTAGATACTGTAATGATAATCTGAAGCTGGAATTGAGAGGCTGTAGGCCTCTAGTATGGGAGGCCTTAACAAGAAGTGTTAGAGTTAGCCATCTGTGTAGCCCCTCTAAATGAAGTGTTTTAAGCTAATTAAATTGTTTATAAAGATAAAGTATCATTGATCTGGAAACAAGTATGTAGATATACTCACTCAGCTGAAACCTGTCAAATCCAGTTAGAAGTTGGTACATGTCACTTGTTGAAATTTACATAAATTCGACCAGTTCCGTTGCAGTGCTCATAGTAACTGCAAAGAAGGAGATATTGTTGTCTTCTCTTCCAAAGCTGCTTCTCCTCTGTTCACCTTCATTGTAATCTACAGCTTTCAATTTCAGCATTCCTGTATCTGTAGTTAAGCATTGTGACTTTTAGCAGTGAGGGAGGAAACAAAAAATTATGTTATTGTGTTGCAGGGTTTTTTAAAGACTTTTTTCTCCTTACATATTTTAGAATCAATTTCTAGCTCAGTTCCAAACCAAAAAGTATTTAAAGATTTTGTTTTTCCTTTACTCTCATGTGTCCCTCTGTGAGGGTAATGAATCTTCTTACAATGGGAAGTTGAAAGCTAGGCTTTATGAAGTGCATTTGTTAGCTGTGCTGGTATAGTATTATAGTAATATGATTATTGCTTATTTTTAGTCCCATTTGTGATATTGAAGTGCCAGAAAGACTTTCGTCCTCGTATGAACAACTTAAGTGTTACCATGTTGTGGAGAGATGTGTCCATGTGCCTTCCAGACTGGGCAGTGAGGAGGAGATCCTGCTGGTTCACAGGTCTGAAATTTAACTTTCATTGCTATTCAGATTAGTTCAATGTAACAGCAGATCCTATACCTCTGGGTTGTATTTTGATCCATTGGAAAAGGGTTGCTCCAAAATTCAATGATGTCCATGAGTTTCAATGGGAAATGTGTCACACTCAAAGTTAGATAAATAATGAGTATGGTGTAGGTGCTGAATTATGAATCTGCTACTCATTTAAATCCATTCTCACTCTTTTGGATCTTAAGCAATGAATGCTGATTTATAGATAGGAATAAAAGTAGACTTCTAAAAAAAATTAGGACAAGACTTTGAAAAGTGTAGAAAAACGGGTATTTCTTTAGAGAGATAATAATCTCCCCTTTCTTCCAAGCATCTTTGGGATAGAGTGAACCAAGCAGAAAAACTTTGCAACCCCAGGAGGGAAGGGATGCAACTCAGGGCCCAGATACCTGTGGTACTGTGACACCAGTACCATAGCTTGATCCCAAGTTGTGGTTGAATTTTCAGGTTCCAGAACAGTATTTTTCCTAAAAACATGTTAGTAAGAATACAATTAGTGCTGTGTACCAATACAATTTGTTTTCATGATAAATACATTGCTGATTGGGTATGAAAGAGGCTTGATCACTATTTCCAGTTGATTTGCTCCTGCCGGATGACTGGGGCAAATCACTTCACAAAGTCTTGTCTTGGTTTCCATAGGTAAGCTAGAGATAATAGAGCTCTTTCCTCTCTGAAACACTTTTAGATTAAAACAAGTTTATAACTTTTATAAAAATGTTTTATGTTCACAGTTACTATCGAGGCTGCTGCTGAAGTTAAACTAGTAACTATACAGTCAGTCATGTTCGTATGGTTTTAGTCCTGTTAATGCCTTTATTTTAAAGCCACTGTTTATTTTCATTAGGCAACACTAGCATGTTTCATTTTGTTGTGAAATTCTGATTACTTCAGTGTTGTCCACCCAGAGGAATGTGTATATGGTCATTGTATCCTGGATTAGGACACAGTAGGGAGAGGAGATGCCATCAGCCTCCATTTCCAGTTTACTACACCGGAGCAGGAGATCAGTGACAGAGAATTGGTGGAACATTGATGCTAATGCCTTAGTATTTATTGCACTCTTGAACCAGTGAAAAGAGGGAGTTAGTAGATCAAATAGTTGTTTTTCGTACAGCAAGGCAGGACTAGAGGCACATTCTCAGAGTTGTAATTCACACTCTGATGACTGTCAGAATCTCATTGAGATGGTATCTGTATGTAGAGAGGATTACAAAATAGATTGCTGCATGATGAGCAAAGAGTCTATTTTTTTTGGAAGACTAATTGCTCTCATCAGGGAGAAAAATGTCATACACTTAAGACATTCAAGAACCCTTGTTTTTATAGCACTCCTAACTTTTTTCACTATATCCTGCAACTAGCTTTCCAGAGTACCTACTGGACTTGTAAAGTCTCACAGCCCATTTTAACATCTATTCTGCTACTACTTATTGCATTCTGCATTAAAAAAAAAAACCCCAAAAAACAACCCAAGTCTATAGTTGCTTTGTTAATTGTTGTGTTAATCTCTCCTCTGCAGTTCAGAGCACTTGGAAGTGGCGAAAAGCACTCAGACAATGAATGAGGAGGAACTGAAAAGAGTCTCTGAAAATTACGATGCTTTTTTCTTTCATCCGGTGTGTAAGTTAAACTGTATCCTCTGGGAGTTACAAGTATTTGCCTTATTGCATCTGAGTAACACTTTTCTAAGTAAGGGAAAAAATAACAGTACATTTTTTGCTATTTAAGTAGTTTCACATTTATTTATGATATTATTGTTACCTGTTTCAAGTTCAGTACGATGCTGTAGTTTAAATTGGTTGTGTCCTTGTCATCTATTCTGTAATTGTATCATGTCAGTATAGTGCACTACTCAAATTTTAGCTCTGTTTTTGTCACTTACTGTCACCATAGACTATTAGTGACCCACAAATCACAGTTTGGTAACAGCTGCTCTGAAATATTGTGCCAGGTAATGGAGATGCTCTTCCATGTTTTGATTCTGTAGGGTTTCATTACTTATTTTCAAAGACATTTTGTTATTCCACTAGTCAGTTCAGTATGTCTGTCCCGTGTTTCTTAACTACTCCACAGAGAACATCCTTATGAAGGATATGGTGATCACAGGTGATCCTAGTAGAAAGCACATTGGAATCTGTGTTGTAAATTTCTGTTTCAAGTATTTGCATTCAGCTTCAGTTGGGTAGAATTACGTCAAGGCAATTTGCTGTTGGAGTGCTAAAGCATGTCATGTGTGACTGGTTTAAGTTGATGAGTAATTGACAGCTATGAGTTTCTGTTTCTCAGAGCACTTACCGCTGTGCCAGACTAGCAGTAGGAGCAACTCTGCAGCTGGTGGATGCTGTGATGTCAGGGAAAGTGCACAATGGAATGGCATTAGTAAGGTAAGGGAATATGTGAGAAAGCTTTCACTTCTTAGCAAAATTTATTTTCTTGTAAGTAACTTTATAAAACTTTGGTTCAGGCCTCCAGGTCACCACAGCCAGAGGAATGCAGCTAATGGGTTCTGTCTGTTCAACAATGTTGCTATTGCAGCAGAATATGCAAAACTGAAATATGGTCTACAGAGGTGAGTGCACAGCTAACTCTGGAGAAGCTTTTCAGACCCAATATGGAATTTAGGTAACAGTTTGACATTGTACTGGTTTAGATTAATGTCTAGAGCTTCTTGGGTGTCCTGTACCTTTTGATTCAGAAAAATGTTTTCATCTGTACCTTCTGTGGATTGAGATGCTGTGGTTCTTCCACTCAATGTTTTCTTTTACTGATCTATGCAGAATCCTAATTGTTGACTGGGATGTGCACCATGGGCAAGGAATTCAGTATATATTTGAAGAAGACCCAAGGTTTGAAGGGTTTTGATTTTCTTTCAGTATTAGCTGTTTAAGGGTTGCTTGCTTCTGTAGAGAGTAAGTTGTCTTAAATTTCTAAAACTACAATCTTGCTATGTTAGCCACTCTGTTTTTTACTTGTAATAAAGTAGGGGAGGGGAAAAATCTAACGCAAAAAAAGGGAAATACATAGATCTGTTCTACTTTAAAGAGTAATAAAACCAAAACGAGCTGCATTACTCAGGTAATACATCTGTTATCTATGTTCATGAATCTCTCAGTTCTTCAAGTAGTAGTTGGATAAAATACATTAACTTCACATTGTTTTGGAAAAGCCACTTAAGTCGGTTCTAGAAACAAGACTGCTGTTTCTGAAAATTCCTGTCTTTGATCCTTATGGAGTGTTTGCATATAACATTTTCAGGAGCTTAATTTTAGGTTAATTTTGACATAGAATCTACTGTACCAATTTTCACAGTTCAGGTCCTTCAAGAGAACTGAGGAGAAAGGACAGTTTTATTTTCTTGCTTTCAGTCAGTACAATCACTTTGTTCAGGATATAAAGTAATGCCCAGAATCCTTTTGTCAAGTTGGGTTTTTTTTTTTGGCTTTTTTAATTATGATTTTCAGTGTCTTGTACTTTTCCTGGCATCGCTATGAACATCAGGAATTCTGGCCATCACTCAAAGAATCTGACTATGATGCTGTGGGTCTGGGAAAAGGAAAAGGTTTCAACATAAATTTGCCTTGGAATAAGGTAAATATTGTTTACAGCACAACAAAGCAAGTGCAGTAGCTTTATATCTCTGTATCTCTGTATTTCTGTATCACTTTCTGAGACAGTGCACTGCTTCACTTGCCTGGCTGATAACTTAGCCCGGTGCACATCCTTCCTGTCAGTGAAATGTCTACAGAAAAATATGGCTCAGAATGTGATAATGTTAAAAAAAAAAAAAGCAAAAGGGGAGAAAAAAACTTGTACATTAGTTTTTTTCTTGACTATCTTGCCTAGCCATCAAATGGAAAGGTGTTTCAGGAGATGGTTACATCTATCCTTGTTGAGCAGAGAATTTAAGCTCATTCTTAGGACTAAAAAGGGTGGATATATATGCATTTAAATAGAGTTTATTTTACTTGACTTCGTAAGTTTCCGTTATCTTTTACTA